CTCAAGGCGCATGGGTGTGTGCTGCTGGCCGAGGACACTGCTGATCCCCTGCTCGACTGCAAGGTGAGTCACCTGCCCTCCCTCTCCCTCCCATACACACACACACTCACTCATCCGCTTTCTACTTTCCTTCCCCCGCTCTTCCTTCGCTCCATCGTCGTGGTTCCCAAACAAGCACTTCAAGACACACTCGCCAGAGTGCACTCACAAATGTTAATCCCCCTACCACATCCGAAGCTCACACCCCACCCCCCCGACACATCCTCCCCTCCCGCCACACGGTGGGCGCGGCAGCAGGCGAGCAGTGGGGGGCTGTTCATGCCAGAGGCGGAGGACGTGGTGCCACACGGTGACGCCAACCTGCAGGTCGACGACTTCTTTGCCCGCCGCCCCGATGACGACCAAGACGCCTGACCTCTCTCCCTCCGCTCTCCGCTCTGCTCTCGCATGGAAGGCGTTGCAGCACGGGTGGCAAGGGGTCCACAGGCCGAAGCCCAAGGGGGTGCGGAGTGGCGGGGAAAGAGGGAGGGTGATGCGCGCAGCAAGGGAGGAGGGACGTGGGCGGTGCGTGAGGGGGAAGGCCAGGCCGAGATTCGATTGCATGGCATCTGGTCCTGTGCGGTGTGTGGTGTGGCAGGATGGGAAAGGATAGAGATGATGGCAGGCAGGCATGGAGGGAGGTATGGGTGGGAGTGGGGTGGCTGCTCCATTTGCGTGCATAGCATACAACCAAGGTCCACATGACTGGCATGCTGCCCCATGCATGATGTAGGTATGACGAGAGACGTATACGAAACAGCAATCGTTGAGAATAACAAGCAGTGGGGCGGGGCATGGCGTGGCGTGGGGTGGCGTGGCTTGGGCCGTGTGTTGTGGGTCAGCACCGTGTAAAGGGTGTGTCGTGTTTCTAATCACGGGCGTTCGGTTCAATCACAGTTGCCAGGAGCCTCCGTTGCTTTTGGCCGGCTCGCCAATTGCAACGTGGGATGAGCGTGGGGGTGCATGTGTGTGTGATGCCAATGCCAAAGGGTCGCACTTTGAAGGTGCGCCTCCCAGCAGGCTGCATTGTCGTGGTGCCTTGGCTTCTTCTTATGGTCCAAATAACCCCTGTGCAGCCTGCTCATTGTTTCATCAACTTAGCTGGTTGTGAGCAGCTGTTTGCAGAGAGAAGCAATGGAAAGGTTATTCGAGCCATCCTGCTTAGTGATAGAACAAACGTACTGTGTCTTTGCATGACTGGTCATGTTATGCCATTTGCATTCCCATTTTACAACCTGTCAAAAAATTTCATGCTTGCTTTGATCAAATACTGTAGTGCTGGTTTCTTTTGCAAGAATGAACAATGGTACGGTACCAGAAAAAAATATTAGCTACCGAAAAGGCATTATTTTTGCCAAGAATGAAGACAACGCAGTAATCTAGAAACACCAAGCTAAAACAAACACGAGTAGCCACAATGGCTCAATTCAAGGGCTCTCAATGCACATGGGACAACCCCAAGCACCAAGGTGAAGTGGCGATAGCCTCACGAGCCCTCCCCACAGGCCGTGCAGCACTATCCCCACCCTGATGGGTTATTGCAGTGGGGAGAACAAGGGAGGGAAGTAGAATGGGCAGGGGGTGAGAGAGCGAGAAATATATTTTTGAGTGGGATAAGGTGTGGATCAGAAGCCAAGGTTGGAGGCACACGCAGTGACACTGTGTGTGCGTGCACCCACCACACCTGCACCCACCCCTTGTGCATCCACATCCAAGCAGCACCCCCCCATGCCGCCACGTGCCCTGCTCCTCTCCACCCCTGCACCCACCGCCCCTCCCCCAGCAGCAGCAGCAGCAGCAACACCCACGGCTCCCCTGCCAGCGATGCCAGCAGCATTCAGGCGCGGCCAGGCGGCAAGAGTCATACAGGCGTCAGGCGTATGAGAGGCCTTCCCCAGGCAGCCTGCAGCCGCAGGTGGTAGCACTGCGTGCTTGGTGGTTGGGGCAGCAGCAGCTGTGTGTGCGGCGGCGGTAGCAGCAGGCAGTGCAGCGTCCACGTCCATGTGCCACCCCATGCCACCTCCTGCTGCCCCCTGCTCCTCCTGCACTGCCATCGCCTCACACACTGCCTTGCCACCACCACCACCAGCAGTGGCAGCGACAGCAACAGCAGCAGCAGCAACAGACGCAGAGAGGAACGGGCCAGGAGGAGCAGGTGATTCCGCATGCTGAAGCCCCCCTCCAGCTGCCTCGCCGCCCACGGCACCGCTGCCAGGCAGGGCGCCGTGGTGGTCACTGTCCGAGTCACTGGGCTTGTCGAGCAGCAGCACGGACGCGCCTGGCAGGTCGTCCATGGTCTGCAGGTACTCCATCACACTCTCACTCACTCCACTCCCCGCCCCCGCACTGCTGCTGCTGCTGCTGCTGCTACTGCTGTTGCCACACGCGCCCCTCGCCTTCTTGCTACTGCTGCCTGCCACAGCTGATGCTTCATGACTTGCGGCCGTGTGTGCTGCTGTTCCCACGCCACTGCCGCCAGTGCCGGCTGTAGCACTGGCTGTAAACGCTGCAAGAGCAGGCGTTGTGTGCTGGTGCTGCTGGTGGATGGGGACGCCTGTCTCCTCTTCGCTGTCCTCTTCCTCCACCCCCCATCCCGAACCAACCCGGCCACTGCTGCCATTCGCACCCAGCGCATTCATCACAGCACCACCACCACCACTGTGAGCAGTATCCACAGCCGTAGCAGCTGAAAGCCCCAAAGCAGCAGCAGCGGCGGCGGCGGCGGCAGCAGCAGTGCTGGCAGACGCCTCCCCAGCAGCAGGTGCAGCAGCAGCCACAACAGCATGGCGGAGGGGCATGTGGGTGGCCACGGCCAGTCGCTTGGCAACAGGCAGGTCCAGGGGCGCCGGGTTCACGCGCTTGTGCCTCAACACCTGCCTCTCGTGCCTCCCATCCTCCTCTGCCTGCTGTGGCAGCATCTTCACCTGCCGTCCACTCATCTCCATGCCATTCCCGCCACTCCCGCCATCCCTACCTCGGCCCGAGTGCAAGTCACCTCCAAGAGCCTGCTGCTGCTGCCCGTCACTGCCATCTGCACCATGTGCCTCCCCGCCCTTAACTGTGCTTGCGCCTGCTACGCCACCCTGCCGTGCCGCGCTGCTCGCGTCAGCAGCAGTAGCAGCAGCAGCAGCAGCAGCAGCAGCAGCAGCAGCAGCAGCAGCAGCAGTGTGCAGAGCGCTGACGACCTCTCCCTGGTGGAGCTCTTTGTGCGAGACCAGAGTGCTGGTCGTAGCGCCAGTGGCTGCGGGAGTGGCAGCAGCGCTACCCCCAGGACTTAAAGCAGGGCTGGCAGCAGCCGTGACATCAGGTGCAGCAGCAGGAGGAGCAGGAGCGGCAGCGGCATAGGAAACAGCAGTGCGGGAGCACGCAGCAGTATGGGAATCGAGAAGAGCAGAAGTGAGGGTTGAAAAGGCAGGAGGGATGGGTCGGGACAGTGGGGAGCGGGCACGAGTAGTGGCAGTGGGAGCAGCATTCGTTGCGGTGACAGCAGTTGCAGGAGCACTGGTTCCTGCTCCATCCCCTTCCTCCTCCCCTTCTTCCCCGTCCTCCTCATCCCCCTCCCCCCCGAATGCGAGCATGGCATGCGGCCACAGCTCCAGCACGCGGAGTAGGGTGCGCGCAGCCATGCGCTCCTGCTCCGCCTCCTCGTCCTCCGCGCTCATCACCTCGCACACCGCGCCTGCGCCTGCGCCTTCCCGCTCGCCCGCGCCAAGAGGCGCAACCTCGAAACCGCTCGCGCGTGCAGCCGGCGGGGATGCCGCACCTGCGCCACCAGCAGCGGCCGTGGCGGCAGGGGTATTAGCAGCAGCGGCACCAGTGGCAGCCGCGGCAGCGAGCGCAGCAGGGCGCAGGCCGCCCGGGAATGATTCCTCCACCAGCGCTTGAAGCGCGGACGCGGAGGAGGAGGCGGAGAGGAAGAGCGGCGGAGGCGGCGCAGCGCGGGGGCGTAGGCGACCGGCGGCGAGCGGGTGGTGCGGCGAGGGCAGCGAGAACACCGCCATGTCGTCCGCTGCTGCGGCTGCCACGCTGGAAGGCCCCCCCACGGGGTGCGGCCCTTGCGGTGGCGGAAGAGGCGCATCGCCGAGCGGCGCAGCGGCGGGGGCGAACCAGCGGTGCGAGGTGGTGCGGCCCAGGGGAAGCAGGCAGCGCATGCCCGCCAGGAACGAGTCCGCCGACGTGCTCTTGTGCAGCGCCGCATGCTGCGCCTGCTGCTGCTGCTGTTGTTGCTGGTGATGATGCGCGCCGAGGGCGGACGACCCTGCTGCGGGCGTCACGGGCGCGCTTCGAGAAGGGCCCAGCCGGCGGTTGGGGGACACTGGTGCTGAGGTTGGTGGGAGTGCCGGCGATGGGGAAGGAAAGGAAGGCGTGGGCGCGTGGTGAAGAATGGGCGACTGTCCGTGAGCGCACGCAAGCGCGTGTGTGTGTGCATGGGCGTGCGCGTGCGCGTGCGCGTGGGTACCATGTCCGTCGCATCTGTGCCGCTGCTGCTGCGCCTGCTGTGCGCGCATGGCGGGGGAGAACGCTGACCCGCTGCTTCCCGGGCTGCATGTGATAGAGGCAGCGACGGCGGGGGACATGTGTCCACCCACAGCGGCATGTGCGGTGGCAGCGGGCAGGGCACCATGCGGCGCGAGAAGAACGAGAGGGGCGTGCGAAGGGCTGCCGGGCCGTGACGCGGTCTCCACGGCGTGTCGCTTCACGTCGCCTCTCGCTCCTCGCTCCCACTCCCCTTCCCCCCCACCACCCGCTCCGGTCTGCTCGCTGCTGCTTCCGCTCCGCCCAGCATCCCCAAGCGCCTCTCCCCCGTCCGCTCTTCCCTGCTCCTCCTCCGCTTCCGCCGTCATTCCGCGCGCAGCGCCAGCGCCAGCGCCGTCCGCCGGCGCCATCTCATGCCCCGCGACATCACCCTCATCGTTTCCGCCATCCCCGCGCCCAACGCTGCTGCTTCCGCCAGTGCTGCTGCTGCACGCCTGCCGCTTCCGCCGCGCGATACCCGCTCTTCCGCCCATCGCCTTGCTGCCGGTAATGACGTCAGCATCGACACCAGAGACACCCGGAGGACGGCCAGTGGGTCCAGCGGAAGAGGCGCCGGGAGTTGCGGCGGAAGTGCCGCCGAAAGCTAGCCTGCGCGGTCTCCGCCCCAGGGGATGACCCGGGGGGGCATGCTCCGCGCATTGCGGAAGCGGCGGAGGCAGCGGTTGCGCGCCGGTGACGGCGGGAGGGTGAAAGTTGCACGAGAAAACGGGTGCGGGATCGTCGAGCGGAAAGGCGGCCGGGGAGAGGAGGAGCGGGGAGAGCGCGCGGTTGGCGGAAGGGCAGGAAGCGGGGAGAAACGTGGGAGTGGCGGGCGGCTGGCTGAACGGGGAAATCAGGTGCGCGGCCGGTGGGGTACCGTTCTCCGCGCTTGCAGCGGCTGTCGCAGCGTATGTTCCCGCGGACGGGGACACATGCGCGGAGTGCGCGGCGGTCAGCCGTGCGCCAGCGGCGGAAGCAGGGCAGCGGGAAGGGTAAGGTGAGGTGGAAGCGGGAAGGCTGGCAGCGGGGGAAGGGCGATGGTACTGCTGCGGAAAGAACGGCGAGGCGGAAGCGGTTGCGGCGGGTGCATGCGGAACGGCGGAGGCGAAGGGTTCGGAGTGGCAACGCACAAGGTGGTCGGGGGAAGCATCGGGAAAAGCGGGGGATAAAGGCGGTGCTGGCGGCGTAGCGTCATCGGTATTCGCAGCTACTGGGCGCGTCCCCGCGCGGCCTTTCTCGCTTGTGTGCGCACTCTGTTGATTCGCGGCTATATTCGGAAAGCTGCACGCGCCCTGTTGACTCCGTTGACCCTGTTGATGCTGTTGCTCCTGTTGACCCTGGTAAAAAGCTGCATTTTGCTGCTGCTGACCGCATTGACCAGGCGGAATGTGGTGATTATAACGAGCGGAAGATCCGCTGCCCACGTCAGCACCCTCCATCTTCACGCACTTCCCCCCTTGTCCGGCTGCGCCAGACCCGGAGCGGAACGCGGGCGCGGCGGAACCTAGCGGTGATGGCGCGGGGGCAGCGGAAGCAGCGGGTGCAGCGGAAGCAACCAGGGAGGCGGACGGGCCCCCTGCTGCTGATGGCGACGCGCGGATGGACGATGGCGCAGAGGCGGCCAGCGCGGGAGCGGAATCACCGGATCCGCCAGCCGCGGCGGCGGAAGAATCACCAGCAGCGGATGCGGTGGACGCGGAGGGAGGGCGCGGGGTGACCTGCTGTAGCAGCAGCGCGATGCGGCACGCGACGACCTTGTTGTTCCGCTTGCGCTCCGACGGCGTGGCGATGACCGACGGCAACGGCACGGCGGCCACTGCGGCCCCCGCGGACATGCTGTGAGGGAGATGCGGGGGAGGGACGAAGGAGGGACGAGGCCAAGGAAAGACAAGGAGTGAGAAGCAGTGGGAGTGAAGGGCGAGAGGTGGAGGGTAGAGAGGAGAGGGGTACGAGGAGCAGGAGTAGGGTCATGTTGGCAACTAGGGGCTTACAGGTCCGGTGTGACACTGGTGAGAAGAACGGGCGCCATGCGCGCACCGCCGTTGCTGCCGCTTGTAGATGCAGCCGTGGCAGGTCCAACAGCAGCAGAACCGCCTGCTGCTACACCTTCATCCCCGCTACAAGCAGAGACCCCGCTCTCGCCGGCAGCATCGCACTGCTCCGCCTTCACTCCCGCGCCACCGCACGCAACACCGCTCCGCGCCGGAAGTGCAGCAGCGGCTGCTTCTGCTACCGCATCTGCCAGCGTTCCACCCGCCATCACTGCCGACTCCTCTTCCGCTTTCACCCGCATCTGCGCCGTACCCGCACCTTCCCCGCCTTCAGCGGCGGGAATGTCCTTTCCCGACGGGACATGGCCAGCAGGAGCACATTTATCGACTGCCTGCTCTGTCGCACGAACGCCAGCTTGTGCTAACGCCGTCGACTGGCCTACTAGCTGCGCTGGGGAAACCGGTAGAGTTGACGGAGACGGCGAAAGAGACGGCGACAGCGGCGACACGGAAGCGGGTCCGGGAGCAGGTGATCCCAAGGGAGCGAGATCGCTGGTGCTCACGGCACTGGACAAACCCGCTCGCGGCCCACAGGCGGGAGACGAGGCCGGCGCTGACGGCTGCATGCGCGTGGTGGTCGCGGTAAGGGCGGCAGATCCGACGGCTGCTGACACGCCTGCGGGTGCTGGTGATGACAGAGTGGGAGACGGGAGGGACGGTGATGCTACCGGCGCTGATTGCAGTGCCGGTGATGCTGGTGCTGACGGTGCTGGCGACGCTGACGGTGCTGACGGAGTTTGTACTGCGGGCTGCGCGGGCGCCGCTGCGGCGTGAGAAGCATCCACGACCACCGCGGATGTTGTCCCGAGACATCGCCTGGCGGAGACATACGCGCAGGGCGGAGATCGGGAGAGAACAAGAATGAGAGAGTGAATGAAGGGAATTCAGAAAGGGGTCGGGTGAATGGGGAGGAAATTGCCATGCAAGGCAAGAGAGACTCGACTGAAACCTCGTGACAAGCCGGGGGAAACAGGGGTGTAACGCGATCGACGGAGAGGAGAAGGCTGCACCGAAGGACGTACTTTTTGAGGAGCAGGAAGCGGTTGCAGCATGACTTCTGGTCCCGCTGAGGCAGCTGCCCCGTGGCTTGGAGCAGCCCCCAGTAGCGGCTACCGTAGCGCATCACGTGGTTCAGCAGAATCTTGTCCTCCTGCACACGCAGCGAGAGCGGGGAGAGCGGAGGAGAGGGAGAGCGGGGAGGCAAGCGCAGGAAAATGTGAAGGGGATTCGCTTGGCCAGCGCGTTAGACAAAGCAGCGGGTTTGGAAGGGTCGTGGCGGAAAAATAGAAATCCAGCTCCGCGAACGCGACGGGCGGCAGCGAGGGCAGAGAAGGCTGGGCGCGCAAAAAGGCGTTAAACGAAACAATTCACCCCAGCGTGGTGCCTTCCTGCCCAGCCGCCGCGAGCATGACACACGCTGAGAACGCCATTAAGCGCATTCCAAGGCGATGACAGTCCTTCCGTTGTATTGAGGACGCGTTCTCTTAGCAGCTTCGTCTGGCATGTACGACGCGATGTTGAGCGGGATTGCAAGACCTACGGGCGCACCTCAGGGGTCCAATGGCATGACGAATTCTTCCCGGCCTTTTCCTTGGCGTCCTGCGCCTGCTGTTGCTGTGACGGTGGCGACTGAGCCTTGTGGTCGTCATCGTCCTCCCCTATACCGCCCATATCCGTTCCTCCCACCGTTGCCTTCCCACACACGAGGGCTTCTCGTCAATCCCTCGCGTGCCGTCACTTCCCCCAGGTGGCTGTCTCGTGATATTCAGCTGTTTCGCGATCGATTCTACGGCAGATCAAGATAGAGAGAGCATGTCCTCGGATGCAAAGGGCACTGATGTGAGCTAGTTTTGCTTCGTTGCGAATTCCAGCGCAGTGGCAAAATGGCTAAGCCACGGCGGGCGTTAATCCCTGGATCACTATCTGCTGCGGCGTGCAGCTCAAATTCACAGGTTGCATGGTTACTATCAAACCCTTGGTTCACGCGCCACTCGTCTTTCAAGAACCCTTGCTTCCACGCTCCGGGGCGGGAGACGCACTTTTTACGATGGGAGCGAAGCGTGAGGCAGTGTTGCGTTGAGCCCTGGGCGAATCTCCCGGTGGAGGCTGAGCTACTGTTGACTCGCGCCTTGAGTGGGTGTGGGGTGGATGCGGTTCAGCTGCTGGCTACGAGATAGAAAGCGACGCATGGGCGGCACGGTGAATTTGGGACTCCAAGGGCAGGGCATGGGATGGGTTTATGGCGAGGTTGGGTGAGGGACAGGGCTATAGGGGGCGAAATTCAAGCTATGGTGTGGAATGGGTTGAAGGGCGGCGCGCATGCCAGCCGCCTTGGTTGTATGGGTATGTGAGGCAAAGGGTAACAGGCAGGTGAAAGGACGCTAGCGCCATATCACTGAAATTTGGGGTTCAAGTGGTGGACCAGAGCCGACCCTGGGCAGCCTTACTCCCGATACAAGGCTCCTAGAACACGAGCTAGACACATGTTTCGTTGTGTCTGGTTCTGTGAAGGATGTGATTCAAGGAAAAACTTCCGATGTAAGTGCCTTCAACAACTGCGCGTTGAGTCACCCAGGGCTTGCTCAGCCTGCTCCGCTTGTATTGGGGAGCGAAACTGATTGGTTGACGACTCGCGCTTCGCCACTAACCAAGAGCTTTGTTCTTGTCGCGCCTCGAAACCAAGCCTTTGCCCAGTTTGAAGTGTGGCTTGGCCAGACTCGCGAGTTCGGCTTGTGCCGTGTCGGTTGGGCAAAGAAAAACGCGGCTTGCGTCCTTCAATACAGCAGCGCGTCAGAGACAAGCAGGTCAAAGTTATGGTGAAGTCAATGAGGGACATTGCCAGACAATATGTTCTTTAAACGAGATGTTCGCGCTGAAGCAAAAAACATCACCAAACTCAAAAGGTGATCTTACTTTTTGGATGTTGGGAGTTTGCTCCAAGCATTTAGTTGTGCAATTGAGTGAAAGAACTAAGATTGCACTATTGATGCAAAATAGTACATTGAGAGAAGGCATGAGCAAATGTTAAATAGTGAACTAGCGTGGTAATGGTAAAAAGCGAAAAATGTGGGGTGCGCGACGGGTCTGGCGCCGATGTTGGTGTCGAGGCGGAGAACCAGAGCGCGGATTACCAGCCGAGTCGTGAGGTTTGTTACAATCCAAAGAGGGAATTAGTCAAATATAGGCTCAGGTTGATCGCATTTATATTGCAGCGAAAATACCGTAGTGACCTTAGATTATAATGAATGTAAATTACTGAAGAGATTATAGCAGATGCCTACATTGGCTTATATAGAAATACAAAGGAATACGAAAAGTCATAACTAGCCATATACTCTAAAGGGTACATTCCCTTAGTATAACAAATTTCAACCGTGTGGCGCGGACATCCGTTTCAAACCTGTTCCCGCCAATTCAAGTTCGAATGTTTCTGCCTCATCGGTTCCTGCCTGGCAATTGTTTCCGTCGCTTCGGCTCGCGCCTTCGTACTCGGTAATGTATGCTCCGTTGCATACAGGAATGCATTTTCATACGCCCCATATCGCAACACCCCCTTCATTCATGGACGTGGCAGGTGATGACCCGCTTGACTACTCCGGTGAGGTTGGAGCAGTGTTGGTACTGCTGACATGGCAGTCGCTTGGTGAGGAAGTCGGCTGCCATCTCAGTGGTGGTGCAGTACGTCAGGTCAACCTTTCCCTAATCGATTTCGTCCTTAACGAAGAAATATCGCAGCGCTATGTGTTTTGTTCGGTTGACGAAGCCGGGCTTGTTCGCGATCCTCATCGTGCTCTAGTTATTGCAGTGAAGGCGAAATGTCGGCGATGTTGGAATTTTCGCCTCCTGTAGGAGCTCTTGCAGATAGAGCCATTCGCGAACTACAACGATTGCGGCGATGTACTCTGCTTCGGCTGGCGACAGGGCATCCAACTCCTGCTTCTGGGAATTCCAGGAGATTGGGCCCGTTGGTTCGAGGCGGAAGACGAACCCGGTTGATTGGCAGGGTCACCGGTGTGATCTGCGTCCACGTAGCCAGCAAGGTTGAAAGACGGTGTTGTCAGCGTGGAGTAGGAGAGGCCGATGTCAGGTGTGGAGATGAAGTACTGCAGGGGACGCTCGAGATCCAGGAGGTTCTCCGCCACTTGCTTGCGCGAGTACTGTGCGAGCTGGCTGGCAACGTACGAAAGGTCGGGTCGGCAGGTGACAGAGGCGAACAGTAGGCATCCTAGCTGCTGTTGGTAAAGTTGGAGTCCTGCGGGTGATAGAGGTTAGTTGTCCAGTTTGTAGTTGGTGCTGGGCGAGCGGTAGGGAGTTGAGAGTGGTGCTGATGAAATCTTGAATCTCTCGCCCAGTTGCTCCGCGTACTTAGAAGCTGAGAGGTGGATGGCGTCTGGCGCGTAGGAGATCTTGATGGTGATGTCGGCGCGCCGTGCCAGAATTTTCTAGAACTGATCGAGTAGCGCGTTGTTCGTTCCCGTGTACAGCAGATCATCGACATACACTGTCAGGAGGATGTAGTCGTCCCAGAAGGCGATACATTCCCGGGTCGTGCAGTAGCTGCTCAAAGCCAATCTCGAGCAAAATCTTGTGCAGGTGATGCTGCCAGAGTCGCGGCGCCTGTTTTATCCAGGAGGGATTTCTTCAGCTGATAGACCCTTGGGTCTCCCTCCCCGTAGGTGTGCGGCTGCTCCACGACGATTTTCGCGTCGACCAGCGCGTACAAGAACGTAATCTTCACGCCGATCTGCCGCAGTGGTAGACGTCTTGCAGCAGCGATGGCGAGTAGGATGCGCAACGTCGTGAGTACCCAACGATTCTTCATGACATTGACACCGCGCGGACGCTCGACCAGCTCCCACGTGCCGTTGTCGAGGAGACTCCGTATCTCCTCGTCCATGGCAGCCTTCACCGCCGCCCCTTTCCAGCTCAACAACGCCTCCTTGATGGTCATCGTCGAAATGTCCCATCGGTGCTCCGGGACAGCGTGCATGTCGGGGTCGAGCTCAGGCAGATCGATGTCGGCCTGCGCGTCGTCGAGCATCGTGCTGTAGGAGGTCGATGGCAGACACGCATGGTAGCTTAGCTTCTCTACGGGCTTGCCAAAGTTGGAGTGGGTAGAACGCCTCGACTTCACTTCTTCCACCGAGACCTCCACCACGTCACTATCGACGGACTGCTCCCCTGTCGATGGCTCCCCTTCATCGTCGCCGACCACACCGACGACTTCCACAACATCGCTCGACGAGCCGTCGTAGGGCTGCTCCCCTGCCGACAGCTCCTCTACCGATTGCTCCCCTGAGGTCGGCGTCTCTGCCGACGGCTTCTCTGCGGTCGGCGCCTCTGCTGACAGCTTCCCTTCGGTCGGCGCCTCTGCAGGCGGCGTCTCTGCCTTATTCTTCGACGTCGACGGCTCCCATGTCGTCTGCCGCTTCCCGGTCGGCGCCGCAGGCGACGCACCGAGTCTCCCCTCATCGCCGGCGGCTGACGAGGATCCCTGAACAAGGGGAGGGGGGAAGGGGGTGACAGCGTCTGCGTCGTCCTCATCAAGCTCGTCGTCCGCGGCGAGCAGTGGAGGGTGCACCGAGGAGGAATCAGTCGGCGGGGTAGAGGGCGTCCTCGTCGACGCCGGCCCGTACTCCACCTTCCACATCTCCATCGACAGGGTCTCGTAGAAGATCGCCTCGACCGTCGTGACGACCTTATTGTCCGTCAAGTCGAGCACCTCCCAGCCCTTGCTCTCTGCCGACACTCCGAGGTGAAGACCCCAACAGGCCTTCGGCGCCAACTTCCCACCGCGCCGCTGCTCGGGGACCATGAGCTGCACCATGCAGCCCCACACGCGCGCCAGCGTCAAGTCCGGCTTCTTCTCGAACAGCAGCTCGTGCGGCGTCGTCCCCGAAGGCAGAGAAGCCCGTTCGAGGCAATTGCGCACCCAGACAGCCTGTCGCAAAACAAGATGCCACCAGTGGTGCTTCACGCCCATGTGCAGAAGCATCGTCCGCACGGCCTCGACGACTGTGCGCATCTCCCGCTCCGCCATGCCGTTCTGCTGCGGAGTGTAGGGGCACGTGAGGTTGTGGAGGATGCCCTTGTCTTCGACGAGGTCGGTGAAGGCGCGACCGAGGAACTCCCCTCCGCGGTCTGAACGCAGCATCTTCACCGTTTTCGAAGTCTGCCTCTCCACCACCTTCAGCCACTTTTCGAAGACGACCAGCACGTCGCTCTTCTTCGCAACTGGCCTCACCCACACGTAGCGAGTCTTCCTGTCCTTCAGCAGAAGAAAGTAGAGACTGCCATCGGTGGCGGCCACTCGAAACGGCCCGCAGAGGTCGATGTGCACCACGTTGAGCGCATTCTCTGCGTCCGATCCTTGGTCGGGGAAGGTGTGCCGCGCAATCTTGCCGCCGACGCAGGAGGCACACGGCAGATCATCTGCGGTCGACTTCTTGATGTCCAGACCGGCAGTGACCTCATGCTTCGCCGAGCTCTTGATCGTGTCGACGCCGACGTGCGCAAGTCGAACGTGCCACATGTCCGGGGTCGACTTCGTCGCCGACGCGATCGTCCGCAGAGCCACAACCTCCGTCGAAGTCGTCGTAGACTTCGTCGAGCAGGGGCGCAGATCGGTGCAGAGAATTCTGCCGGAGTAGCGTGCTCGGCCAAGGACATCG